TTGTCATAGTTTGTGTTCTCACATGTAGTGTTAGATCATCCATAAAAGTTATTTACTTCAACAGTAAAGCAAAACACATGTCCCCTCATTCACCTAACCTCAGCCCTTGGTATTACATAACAGCAGACATCACACAGAGGCAACTTGGAGACCAGTCACCAGTGGGTGGGGTTGCTGCGGGGGATTTAAATGGAACTCCCTTGCCCTTGTACACTTTCAGCCTGAACTATCATAGATTGACGGCCAATTGTGCTATACCGCTTTGAAATCTGCAGATATTTCAGATGATTTGTACAATGAAAAACTGAAACTGAAGCAATTTAATCTTGTAATTTTGGAAATTAGGTAATTTACACTGATGTGCAACCTAAAAAAAAGATCAGCCATAATACAGCCCCGTTTGCAATGAACTGTGATGCACTGTGTTCTGACACCTTTCTATCAGAACCAGCATTCACTTTTTCAGCAGTTTGACTTACAGTAGCTCGTCTGTTGTATCGGACCACATTAGCCAGCCTTCGCTCCCCACAATGGCAGAATGATGGGACACAGCATTACATTACTGTATACATGTTTAATCAAACAAAGAGTCTAAACAGTATATATGTTTAGCTGTTATACCAGTCTTGTGCTGTCCAAGCTGTAGCATTACAGCCCTCTAGTCTCTTTGTCTGTCTGCCTTCTTGGACTTTTGGCAGATTGTTGGTAGCTGATCAGTAGGTAAAGAGGGTAATCCACCAACTGGCTCCCCCGTGCCCATGTGTCGAAGTGTCCTTGATCAAGACACTGAACTCCAAGTTGCTCTCCAGGTGCCCATGAATGCCCACTGGTCCTAGTGTATAGAAGGGTCAGATGCAGAGGAAAAATTTATTTTTCATGTATGAAAATACTGTGAAATGAATACTTCTTCTACTTCTTTTCCTCGGTTGCCACACTGATTCTCCAAATAATTAAGGCATTGTTGAGAAACACAGATATTAAAGGTTTATTTCCAACTGTTCAGTGTGAAGTACATTTTGTCCCTCTTATGAATTTACTTAAACTTAATAGCTCTGTAGGCACAGATAGATCTACTATAATAAAGATTTATTGATTTGTTATATAAATAACATTCCTTGCTGAGCACTAAGTCTGTCCTCGGAGGTCATAAAACCATTTTGATCCTTTTCCCTTTGGTTAGAAGCAGGATGAAAACTGTGATCCACAGATTCTTGAAATAATTAATCAACCAGAAATTCAAGGTTGTCTAATACCACTGCTGACCATCAGGTGATTTCTTTTGCTTGCTTGCTTTGAATTCTTTGGAGAAATGCTTGAATGTTTAGGAATGTTGCCCAGATATTTTTAATGTCATTACAAAGACAGAAAGTTTACCACATTCTCTGCACTAATAAGGAAAACACTTAACACTAATTGCGCTTGTTTATGGCTATTTGTTCTGCAAGTCTGCGTTTAGTAATATATTTCTTTTGTGTATTTAAAATGCTTTTTTTCATCAGGCACAAGCCTACCTTTTAACTGGAGTGTGATATATGTTATAGTATCACAATGATGACAAAGTAAGGAAAACATTAATTTCAACATTCTTGCAACATCCATCCGCATACACCATCTTAAAAAAATGTCCAACTGGCCTTTGGAGAAACGTCTCATGGGAAAAGACTGAAGCTCAAATGAAGTCCTGTGGTTTAACCTTTTGACTAAGGCTTTTTAACTTATTAATTGGTGTTTTGTTTTTCTTTTCCTTGATCTGAAATAGTCATGCTATTATAATTCTATTTGTTAGGTGTGAGTATTCATCATTAATGATCACCAGGCTTCGATATTCAACATTAATCTCATTTAACAGTAGCTCATAGATTATAAATGGACTTGGACTCAGCACAGTGGCAAACTCGTGAAGTCTGAGATAAAGCTCAGCAGAGATATCTGGAAAGAAGAGACTTTTCTTGTGGATACATGATGGTGTACACAGATGTTGCAGGAACTTAATAGTGAATGTTTGTTTTAGTTTGTCATCAGTGTTGTACTATACAATACGTTTCTTTCATTTTGATTTTGTTGAGTAATAGTTAAAAAGACACAATTTAAAAAATACCCCCCAAAAAAGAAAATGAAAAGTGGTGCAGTCTTTCAGAAGCCATTCACATTTGGTGCCACAGACCATCTTTGAACAGAGACAGGAGTTACAGTAAACTCTTTCCCCAATATATGACCACCAGTTGTCACATGACCAAAGTTTGATTGAAGTTTAATATGTAGTAACTGAGCCACATCCATGATAACCAACTGTAGTAAGTAGACCTTGTGGTGAGATTATTTTGTCTGTCTATTCCCAAGGCCATGTATGAATCTCTCACTCTCACCAGAAGCTCCTTGCCTTTATCTCAGATAAATCAAACTGATGTCAAGATGTCTTTCATCAGATTATATACCTGCTGCGTGCACAGGATAGTGAGATATAAACAGTCACCAGGGTCAAAGTATACATTTATCTCTGCCTTCAACCTGAGTGACATAGGTAAAGACAAGTGTTAATGAAGGATAATTGCATGTACAGTACACATAAGCACTAATCCTGCAGAGAAGCACTATGTATTGATTCAAGAGAGGCTGATGTAATGGGCTGAAGCCCCCAAGTTCTATTAAGTGGAGTGCAGGTGCACAGCCCCTGCAGAGATGGAAGAGTAACTGAGTTTTGTCACCTCTAAAATTGACGCCTTTCAGCTTTTAGCTTGGATTCACTGAGGGAAATCAGATTTTCATATCTATATTCCCACAGGGGTCTCCTTTTTTAGCTACCAATAAATACATCAAATATGGATCACATGGCTGCTTTAGCAATCAAGTTTTCTGTTTCTGTAAGAACAAAGTGGAATGGATCTTTACTAAAAGCACAAACAAAGTCATTCTCAAGGATAAAATAAGACTTGCTCTAAGCATAAACATGGTTACATAAGGGCCATTACAAGGGAAAGAAGCATTTCTGTACTTTTAGTACTGTTTATAATGTTTGATAGATATTTTATTCTTTCCAACTATCTAGTTGGGACTTTCTTTACTTTCTGTCCTTTAAGCAAAGCCTTAAGTCACCCTTTTCTTATTTTTAACAGGGATATTAAAGTCCAAACATTCCAACTGTGAAATGGATCCCACACCACAGAAAGTCTAGTAGTTACTCCATTTAATGACATCTCCCCAACAGTGGTCTTTTTGAAACATTTCAATTTAGATGCAGATGCAGTAAACAACACAAATCTTTGCATTAGATTCGCTTAATCATTTTTGAATGCAGCATTTAATAGAGTTGATCACATAATACTGTTGTGTTGGTGTATTGTATACATGTCTCTGACTGGTGTACAGCCAATAATTACCAGATTCTACATAATAAACATTCCAGTTACGTTCCAGTAAAGTGAGTCACATGGTGTCACGTCTTATGACACATGTCAATTAATGCCCATACCACAGATGTGCCATGCAGACAAATGTGTGTGTAAATTCAACTTCAAGGCCCGTTATTGGAACTTGGACCATGTGGACTCAACCTTGAACAGACAGGGTCCTGTCCAATAATCAAGAATTTAAGTTCTGTCTATCTGATAAATAAAAAAAAAGAGTTTTTGACAACCAGTTCCAGTTCAGAACCGGTTTCAAATTGTCTGATCCATCAGAATCAAGCTGCCTCCAAGCTTATTTAATCTGACAGTTGCACATTGCAAAACAATGACGTCAAACTCAAGAAGGACAACAAGAAGGAGTCATGACGGAGAGTGAACAGTCCAAAGCATGAATTCATTTCACAAGATGACGACAGTGGTAGTTGTTATGTCTGCAAAATCATCATCATGCAAACATCAAGTAAAGGTGGAAACACCAGCAGTATGCTGAAACATCTTTCTACGCAACATGGGCTTAAATTCCAGGAATGACATGTACCTAACACTGACACTGCATAAGTGCAACTGCTTCCCAGCTGCAGCAGCATGTCCGTTACCAAAGGTAAATATCTAAAGCTAAAATAACAACACAGGCAGGCTTAGCAGATTTTT